ATATATGTCGTTGTTGCTGGCAACCGAAATGTCAGGCAATAAATAAAAACGGCTCCCGTTTGCTCGGATTTTAGTTATCTGCATAAAATCTGTGCATGCCCAGAGTATTACATTTATTGATTGACACGAGATTTTAAAGCGTATGTCCTTCTGTTTTTTTTATTGACAGTTGAATAAATTTGAGCTATCCATGCGTAGGTTTTAGCTTTAACAGGAAAGAACATCACCCGAATATAAAATACCCTACCAAAATTATGGCTTTAGTTTTTGTAGATATATGAGAAGAATTTTAATAAATGCGGAGTTTAGTCAAAATATTCTGAGAATTACAAAAGTTGTTGTTGTATCAGGAAAAAATATACTTAATTGTTTCGGAGTTGCTTTTTTCAAGGCGATTTCGGTTATTTAATAAGCCTAAAAAATAAACTACAACTAAATTTCTTCAATTTCTTCAATTCCTTTAAGTTCTGTCTGAAACACTAACAACTTTTTTGTTTACATTTCTTGCCGCCCGCACCGCCGCCCACAATCTAAGTAATTCTGGTTTTTAGTCAGTGCTCATCAAATGTATTCATGGGGCTGTGCAGCAACAGTCAAGTAGCAATGCTTTGAAATATAATGGGAATTCCTGAAAAGTTTCCCAAGCGCTGACAATTCCCAAAAAACTTTTGCCCCAAACGTGGCCATAGACAAGTCGCTGAATGCGGCCGGGCGAGACGCTACGTAAAATACAAATTAAAATTTAAATGAGCTGCCGCGAATCTCCTTCAGCGCCAGCGCCAACTCCTCCATGTTGACACGTGACAAAGTCGAGCGGCCAATAAAAAAAAAAATATACAATCTCCCAGCGGCCACACCCACAGCGATTGACTGAAAGGCGTCAAGTGTTCGAAACAATTCCAATAACCGTTTCCCCGAGCACAGGAAGTGGAGCCAATAAGCGTTAGTGGCAACCAAAGCCCCGAGAGGCGCGCAAAGGAAAAGCCCAGCTAATAATAGAAAACCCCTGCAGCGATGTCGACGCAGCGGCAGCGAATGCCAGCTAAGCATTAAATTGATAGAAACAGAAAATGTTGCATTTAATTGAAAAATGTTTTCAATGAATTTTTGCCAGCGCTTTACACAAATCTATTTTGATTTTGGTTTTGTTGAAAATTTGTATTTATTTTCGTTATGCTTGTGTAAATAGGCCCGCAAAATTGAAATGCGATGAGGTTAAATATTTAATTGTATTTATGCCCTGAACCCATTAAAAATGAATAAACAGGGTATATTGATTTTGTGCAAATGAATGCAAGCGGCGGGCAGACTCTACGACTAAGAACAGGGCTTGACAAGAGATAGAGATTTAATAACGACCGCAAGCTGATGATTATTTTCGGATATTTCCCATTTAAAATATATCAATAGCTATTCAGGATCGGACCAAAAGAACCGAAGGTATTCAAGACTTTTTCGCAGTTCAAAGTACACTGCAAAAGTTATGTTTGGCTATATAGGACATAAGTTAATCCCTGATGTGCAAAGAATATATAAATTGTGTGGGCTTCGCTTTCGCTTCTGTTTGGCCTCAACTCAACTTGGCCTGCTCCAGTCGCAGGCAAAAACTGCGATTCATCAACTCAAATCAGCGGAGACATGGCAGCGACATGTGACGGGCTTGTCGCCGGCGGCCGATCCTCGACTGCCACCCACTATGACCAGAAGTCAACGAGGTGATTTGCATGCATGCAACAACGGCCACAACAATAACAGCGTGAGGCAGGCGAGTGGCAGATTAGGCGCTGATTGCGTCGATTGGCATCGCCAAGGGAGCTGCTGCCTCTGCTGCCTATCTGGCCAACGCGTCAAGTGCTCACTGTGGATGCACTGCAGCATAAATAGTAAGGCAAAGAAAGAATGAAAGGAATACACGCCGTAAAGTAAAATTCGGCAACCAGGATGCCACATTCACATTCACATTCCCCATTCACATTCGCATTCAGAATCGCATTCACATCGCCATCGCCGCATGCGTTACGCAAATTGAATTCGTTGGCTGAAATTTATGCACCGTCGCGTTCGCTGTTGTTGCTGCCCAACATGGAGACGACGGAGCTGATAGAGCTGGAACAGGAGGAGCAGTTGGAGATAGCCACTGGTAACAGTTCCATATCGACACTGTTGCAGCATTCGGACCGCAGCTACTGCATGTTACTACCAACTGGTAACTGAGAAATTTATGCTTTGTTTTGCCCTGCGAAACATGCAACATCAATTCTCGTTAACTTTTCATGCACGGCTGCGCCATGGCGCACAAAATGGACACACTCCATTCTTTGGCCTGAAAGTGGTCTGGTCAAAAACAAGTATGAATGCTCCAGTCGAGACTGCCCGACCATCAGATACCCTGAATCAAGCGACAAGCTGCCCTTACAATTATTCTAATTGCTTCTATTTGAGCACACGAGGTATTCAAATAGTGAATTATTCTACATCCGTATATACCATACATTTTTAATACATTGTAAATAATAAATAATCGCAACTCCCATCAATGCTATTGTATTGTAGCCGTTTGAAAACTGCACATTTTTTGCAAACGGTTGACGGTCTACAGCTCGCTCCATCCCTCTTCTTGGGCGCGGTGACATTGCCAGTTGAATAGAATTTTGACAAGATACAAATAAATTAAATTGATTAAAATAGTGTATATATATAATTAGTTTGATATAAAATGGTAAGTTTAAAGCAAGAAAACTGAGGAAATATAAAGTCTAACAGGCAGAAGGAAGCATCTACGACCCCATAAAGTATATACTTATCTGTCCGTATGTATGAACGCAAGGATCTCAGAGCCTATAAGATCTAGAGACTTGATGTAGGTCCTCCTAGTGCCTGCGCAGATCGAGTTTGTTTCCGATAATCGATAACTTACTCCGTTTCAAAGCAATCGATAAGAATCGATATCGACATTCTGTTTTTTGAGCAATTTTAGTAAGTATTAAGAGCTAGAGTCACCAAACTTGATATGTTGCTTCTAGAATATTATATATATCAAGTATCTTTTATTTTATACCCATCGCCACCTCTCCGTTAACACCGCAGCTATAAATCAAGTTAATAACAACTGCATTTGGTGTTGGAATAAGAGGGTTCAGGGTATTCCCTAGTCGGGAGCTCCCGACTGTCTGCCTTTAATATATTAACCAGTAAACGAAAAGTGTTAATCAATATTAAAAATGTGCGGGCTGTTGGTACCAAAAACCTTCAGGGGAGAGAGATCACAGAGATTCGCTGTAGATTCAAATTTTGAACTTGTTGAGAATTGCAAGCGTCATTCAATGAAATAAAGGAAAATAAGCATTCCTGCTTCACGCTCAAGTTACATCTGGTTTGGTGGAAGAGCTTTATCTTCTTGTATAAATAACTCTTTATTAGGAGTCAATGTATATTTTAATTCATAGGATATTTTATGGTATCAGCAATTTGAGGAAAAAAAGGGAACTTATTAATTTTCTTTAAGCAAAAACATATACTGAAAAGACTAAATGTTCTTCTCGGGACTCACGATCTGATGAACTCTCGCTCAATTGCAGAACGATTATAGATGAATTTCCACCATTAAATTATTATAATATAATTTGAATATCCATTCTAAGGTCGCAAGCAAATTGGCTTAATTGCTTGTATGATCTAAATTTAATTCTAATTACCGAGCGCAACGTAGCAGTGCTTAGTAAGTTTTTTTTTTTGTGCCTTTTGCACAATTGAGCATTGTGCACAGTCGATTTGCTAGGAACATAAGCCACAAATACTTTCGATTAAATTTAAACACATACCAGAAGAAAAAAAAGAAACAAACAAAAGTATATATGTGCACTTGAAGTAGGACAAAGGGGGTTGAGCTGCGAAATAATATGCAAAACATGGCCTGACCTTCGTGACAGGGCGCACAACGACACCTACCACCAATTGCGGGGGTCATTCAATAAAAATGTAAATTAACTTATCAATTACAACGCCAAACAACAATAAACTCCAAGAGGCAACTGGATTGGGACTGGGATGCTGTTAAGATGCGCGCGTGCCCCATGCAAATATCGTTTGAGGGGGCGACTTCATCTTGTGGCCAATGTTGAGTGCCGGGGCATGGGGCTTTTAACGGTTTTCTTATGCAAATCGCCTGGCCAACGTTAAAATATATTCCTGCTCATAATTTTTATTTCCGTTATTCAAGTTTCAAGATTGTATTGCACACTTTTTGGCATCGTTGTCGCATGGCCAGCAGGCTGCTGCTGCCACCTTTCCTGTTCTCGTTACGAAATTTGCCTTGCTAATAGACTAGAAGTGGGCCGACGAAGAGCCAAGAGCTCAGCTTGCCGTGTGGCTCTTTGTGGTGCGGCGGCCAGTCAAAAGGACAAAGTGGAGTCTGGCGCACAGATATGGCGCCGTCGTGATGCCTTAAATGACATAAGTTACGACTGCCCGGGGGTGCATTTATTTTAATATGTAGCTGATAAGAGCCCGTCCAGATATCTTAATGAGATAAGAACGCTGTTAACTGCGACTTCTACCTGAACTTTAGTTTATTTCTTAAGGTGTCCTCTCAAACAAGTACTGAGTCTGGTAAATGCATTAAGGCGGCTCATACAACAAGACGTTTGGTGTTTATGGCCCGACTGGATATTCGACTTTACAACAACAAGTCAACTTTTGACGTGACTTTTCCCACACTTGCAGTCCCCCAAATCCCTAGCTTAGCATATACTTGCATTACATAAGGTAAATATTTTAACAATGTGAGCTTTTTAGTTCTTTCGGGCCTTGGAATAGATAGTCAGTCAGTCAAGTCGGTCAATTAGTCAGTTAGTTCACTAAGAATTCAGTTAATCAATCAAATAAATAGTCATTCAGTCAATCTGTAATTCCGGTAAATAGTGAGACAGTCAATCAGTCTGTCATTCAAGCAATAACTCAATCAGTCATTTAGTCAGTTCATCATAAGTCTTTGAGTCGATCAGTCTGTCTAGTTTTTACAGTCAGTCAATTATTTTTTATTTATAAATATAAATGAAGCTGAGGATGTTTCGTTCAGTGCGATTAAAAGTCTCTGTAAGCTGGTATGCCTCCATTTTCCAGCTTGACCATAACCAAAAATATCGTAACAATTTTACTTACTTCATTTGAACACCTTTTCCGGCTAGCCTAACGTGGCACAAAACGTTTCTATTTGCAATACGTTGCCTTCAAGTCACCCACTTTTCACATCTCCCGCCCGCTGGTTGCTACTTTTATCGCTTGTTGCAGCTGCAAGCACCTCTGGAATGGCAAGATATGCTCATCACATAAGCCGCCTACAGCATTTTCACACAATGCACACAAGCCTCATCAGGCAACACTCGCACTCACCTTTCTGGGACTGGTCCAGAATTGAACCATCAGAACGTATGAGAATATTCACGAGTCGCCAGTTCTGTTGGGACTTGGCACTCAGCACGGATGCAGGCGCGGCGAAGCGAGGCAAATGGCTGGACATGAACTGGATGATTCCAGCTGTTGATGGTCATGCTGGTGCATTTTCATATTCACACCATTTGGGCTGGTGGAGTGCCTCTTCTGGCCAGGCCAGACAAATTATGGCCACGATTCTGACTACTTGTTGGACTCTGAAGTCCTCTTAGAGAAGAGGCTGGCAGTGCTGCTGCTCCGGCGATAAGCATTTGCGTGATTAATGAAATTTGATGCCCCTGCCCAGGAGAACGGCGCCGAAAAAGAGCTGTGAGCGGCGCTTGAGTGGAGCAGCCAAATAGGAAAGGCTATTGCCGAAATCTAAATACCCTAATGGGCGTTTCACACTGTTTTTCCAATTAAAGATCCTATGACAGCTATATATTGTAGTGCTCCGATCTGGCCAGTTGCATCCATTTAAGACAATAGCTTTAGGACCAAGATACTAGTTGCATCGAAAGAGACGCTGCTGTTGATACTGAACTTGAATGTCTGCATATATTTTATGAAGTTGAAAAAGTCTTCTTCCATGTCTAACACATTTTGGCACACAATAACTATACCCACAACAAGGGCATATTAGGAAAGGCTGGCGAAAGGTAAGTAAGGCTTTTGCACACCTTTCCACAAAACAATTGCACAATCGGTCAGCATGACTTATGAATATGGGCAGACAGTGGGCGGGCCAACTCGTCTCACAATGTCTAATTGGCTGGCCTGGCCAGTACAATATGGTCCAATTAGAATTTGTAATCGCGCACGCTTTGCCCATTTGAATTTATATCGAAATTTAATTTAATTAATAGACCACCAAGTGGGGCAAAAGTCGGCCAGGTGGTGTGTCCACTGCCATTCTTATTGGCCAAACGCTCGCCTATCGCAGCGGGAAGTGTCAAAAAGTCAACTCAATAACTGTTTATTTAACTGGCATATTTCCAATTTCCAACTTTGTGGCCTACTTGCAATTGGCGGCTGTGTGTGAGTCAGGCCCAGACCGAGACTCAGTTAAACTGGTAGTCAACAGCTTCGTTGGGGGCTCCACGTGGTGAAATTCGAGCCTCTTTGCATGTTGGCCAATATTTTGAGCCCGATAAGAGCTGAATTTTATTTGCCTAATCAATTTGATTTCTCTGGTGCTGTTTCGATAACTCAATAGATAGTTGCATAAGGCTTCATAGCTACGAAAAGGCACAAAAGTTTAACTGTAAGGGTTACAGAAAGTCAACTACTACTTCCCATAGATTGCTTAGTAGCTTTTCTATAAGTAGGAACATTGAGAGATCAGAAAGAAAAAAAATCAGAAAATATTAATAGGGTTAAGCTATTTCTTGGCATCTATATATCAAGTCGATCCTAGAACGCTTGCGGCATTTATTTCCAAGTCCATTCACTTTCAATTTATTTTTTTGGCCAAGCCATACATTTTCCCATCTCTCTTTTACGATGGCTGTCCACCTGATATAGTGATCGATATCCATAATGGGCGACTAGCTTATACCGCGCCCACATCTAAGCCTACACGCCCAATTTGCTACCGTTTAGCCAGATTGATTTCATGCCAGCCGCTGCACGACTCGCTGATCATTTCCATTTTGCAGTGGCAGCCGCACAACGCCCACAAATGTGGGCGAGCCGCATTTTCCCAGTGGTGGCCATCAATCAAATTCGAATGCGAGTGCGAGGACGAGAACTGCACTTCACTTGCCTTTGTGGCACGATGGCAAACGGGATGCAGGGGTGCTGCAGTTGGGACCCTGAGCGCTTTTGGTTGTTAAAATTGTAGCGGCATCATTTTTCATATCCGCGGCAAACAACTGCCACAAAAAGCTAAAAAACAATATACAGTTCAAAGCATGGAAATCGAGTAGCAGCTAACAGCGGGAGCCGCAATTGGACCTGGAGCTCGACCTGGACCTGCAGCTCGTGTCTGTGTGTGGAGCTGTGGATGTCGAATGCGTGATCGCCGGTTTGTTGCGTTTCTTTCAACTGCACCTCCCTCCCGAATAACGCTTTGTTTTTGTACTAAGCAAACTAGTCATCGCCGTCCCCTACCATTGGACGCCAAGCCCCCTGGCCGACACTTGCTTTGTGTGCGCAGCGAATGTTTCGATGCGCGCGAATTTGTTGCAATTTCTCATTGTCAGCAACGCGTTCGCCGGTAAATTTTGATTAAACGCTCCACGGGAATTCACTTTGCTGGCCCGTTTCGTGTTTCGAGTTACTCGTGCGCTTTTCTATAGCCTGTACCCGTGTAAAGTGCTCAAATAAAAGGCATATTGCACATGTTCCAGTGCTTGATCAGAGGCGCTAAGCCAAGATCTTCAACATCAATAAATATCGATGCAGCCATGTTGTTTTGAGAAAATCTTAAATATATTGAAGTGAATGCCTTTTCCGATAACTCTCCTCGATTTCTCAAATATCTATAAATATATAAGATATATGTATATACTATATATGTAAAGAATGTGTGTGAATATAGCTGGGTACAGGGTGTCTTATGGACGGGCACCCTTGACTGCAGCAGTCTTACCTGTTTTTTGGTGCTTTTTTTTGTGAACTCTTCGATAGCTGGACCTCCTGTCCTTGCCCACTTTCATTTGAATTTGATAAATGATGCTCGTCCCGGAGCGATATGTTATGCAATTTAGGGATTTGTTTTTGGTGGCGATATTGCGAAAAAATAACCTTAGTTGGTTAAATGCTAGCACATCGCAGTTATAAATGAATACGGCTTTTGAAAATCAATTAGAAGGTCTGCTAGGTGAAAGCGCACCTATCTACAACAGGCTAAATACAAGCTCCTCTTTTTGTTCAAGGAAATCTGATTAAAGAGTGCTACAGAGTGAAATGTGCGAGGCTGCGGAAGAGCAACGGCGGTGCGCATTAATAGCGCCCCAATAACAAGCCGTAATAATAATTTTGCTCCAATTAATCAGCGTTAAATCAGCGAACCGACGTCAAGCGACGCGTTTCCATTCGATGTTTACCAATTGCCGCCTTTGTTTTGCCAGCCTTTTTGTTATTATATATTCCTCTTGTTGTTGTTGCGCCCGTTGTTGAAGCGGATCAATGTCTGGGAAATTAGCAGATGCCCAAGTCGATGTCTGGTTCCATTAAGCTTAAATAATATTAAAGCGGCAGGCAAGGGAAATCAATTTGTGCAACAACATTTTTAAATTGAGTATATAAATACGTATGTGGACGGCATTTTATATGGTTTCCTAAATAGTATTATTAATTTTATTTATATATTTTCAGCTGGCGCCGATAGATTAAAAAGTTACGTTTAAAGTTATAAATCAAAGATGAAAACAAAGTAATAATATATTTATATATGTTCGCCCGTAATCAAACATGTCGCCTTACTATGCGAATTTCATGAAGTCACGTTAAACCATAAAAAATGCATGCTTTTAATTCTTGAAAACTGTGGTGGCAAACCTTACTTTAGTATGTTTGTGTATGTACGAGTTTGTATGATTCAACGATTGTGAGCATGTATGTATGTGTATGCATGCATATATGTATGTACATACGTATGTATGCAAGCATATGTGTGTATGCATGAATGTGTGTATGTACATATGAAATAACGTATGTCAGGTTTACTTGCCTCTGCGCTGTAAATTTATAACAAATTCATTTTTCATAATAGCTGTTCTATGCGATTCTCATAATTCTAAGAAGGCAGGTGGTTATGCTTTGATAGTGAAAGAGGTGTTACATTAGTGATATTGTCAAGAAAACAGTTTTATTTATATGTGTACAAGTTTATTTGTATAAAACCTATATATGTATTTAGTGTGTCATAAGAAAATGTGTGTATAAAATTTGGCTGTATATTTGTATGTATGATTGTAGGTTCTGTAAACAAAAGCTTACTTTCCGCTGAACTACAAATTTAAAAATTAAATACATTTTTGGTAAGTACACATTTTATACATACCTGTTATTGATTATGTAAATGCGAAAACAAATCAGATCTGAGCTCTGATCATCTGCTAGTTACATACATATGTCTGACATCTTGACAATAATTGTCAATTTGACGTGTTTCAAGTGTTTTCATTGTGGAACCTTTGTACATTGTTGTCTTTACCTTTTTGCGCTTTTGTAAATACATAAAATTGCCCAGCATCGGTTGTCTCCGTGTCTGATTGTTTTCGATGCTTTTAGCAACTGATTTTCAACTTAATTGCTTCGTTGTGGGTCTGTCTCGAATATCCAACGTCTGTCAGCAGGCAACGGGTGTGCCGTAGGTGGTCCCATAACGAGCTAATGAAATGTGTGGTTGGTAAAGAATATTGTTGGGCCTCAGCAATGAGTCAGGAACTGTCAAAACTGACGAATCCACTTGCCAGAAAGAAAAACATAAAATACATGCAAATTGTGCGGTAATTGCTTAACTTATCATCATCAACGTTGGACTTAAGTGATTTCGATGCTGTTCAACTTTTGTAAATGCTAACAAGAAAGAAGAGGTGTGTCTCTGGAATGCCAAAAAATTTATATTTTTCAGACTCATTTTCTCGTTTTCTTAACAGTGCCACAGAACATTTTTGCTGTAGGTACTGTCCGGCTTTGCCTGTGGAACGTTATGTGCCAAAACGTTTAGATATTTTCTTCCCAAAAAGTACACGCCAGTGGAAAATTGAAATCTACCCGTTCCACTCTTGAACTCGACTTCTATTTAAAAATATGTTTGAGGTGCAACGAATAAAGAACCAAATGTTGAAATCAGCGGTTTCCGACCTTGTTAGTCTTCACCAAAATATCTCTGAATCGAATTTTTACGAAGGTAAGTAGCTTTTGTTTTGCGAAAAATGTGAAACACATCTCAAATGAGGTATCAAATATTAGGATACTTAGAAATGAATTTAAGCGCGAAACGTTACCCACCAAATCTTTAAACTCCATTTCCACCAAGGAAGATGGATTTTTCGAAAAGTGTGAAACAGCCCTCAAATCAATTTGCACAAAGATTATTGAAAATTATTATATATAGAATATATGTGTAATTTTCAATAGATCTGTTAATATAAAAATATTTTTTTTGTATTGTATTTCCAGTATCCGAATAGGTCGACTCCTATATATAGGCAGAAACGCTTAGCTATATAGACTGGGTGCTCATGATTCTGATGTGATTCTGACACAAAATAATACCTCGAAGGGCTGGACAAATCATAAATAATATTTGTATAACAGTTTCCGAAAAGAAAGCTATGCATATTCCTTTGCGCAGCCCTCAAACTTATCGATAAATGTGAAGTGTCCAGTAGCTTTTTGCAGCTGACAAAGTCGTTGAGCACGTGCAATATACTAAAATAAAAATTGATTGGTATCAGCAATTAACTTCCAGTTTTCTGTAAGTTTGGCTTGACTTGGATTTGCTAATTAACACATCGCGAAGTTTGTGTTTCGCTTAATTAATGACGCCCATTAAAATTTGCAAATGTGTGCGTCTTCTTGACCAGAACAGGCTC